GTGTGTGTTAATACTAAAAATATTATATTAATATATTTTTTAAAAAATATTTTTTAAAATAATTATTATTATATTCTCAAACAAGCTTATAAAAACTATCTCTCTAAAGTGTGGTTCTATATTAGCATGGGTTTGTTTATAAAGTGAGTCACCTCGAGTAAATAAATATAATTTTAATATTTTTTAATAATTTTAATATATTGATATAAAAAATATAAAAATATAAAAAAAATTAATATATTTTTAAGTGAAAATTTATTTTAAAAACTATTATATACCCCAATTTCAAACACACATTTAATATCAATTATATTTAATTTATAAAAATATAATATTTTACACCCCGTAAATAAATATAACCTTATTACATATACTAATTAATTCATGAAAAATATAATATTTCAAAATACATTTTATTTTAATATGTATATTGATTAATAATTATATATTAAATTTTAGTTTTTTGATTTTTAATTTTTATCTTGTTATTTTTATTTTTAAAAATTAAATAAGACATTTTTTATACTATGAGTAGTAATTAGTACACATTGAATATAAATGGATATTCTTGAAATACGGGAAATATTTTCTTTTATTTTTAGTGGAGTAGTCATCTTTATGTCGAAAGAGGCCGCCCACGAATAAGAAAAATATATTTTATTGTTCCTTAATTTGGGCCGGGACAAAAATTTGAATCCGGTGCAGATAAGGGAGTCTTCCTGAGAAGAACCCAACATTTCTTCTTGGAATTGTTCGAAGCCCAGCTTAGTAACTCATACATGTCCAGTCCACGGTCACATCTCACATCTGACATGACATGCGATTGCAGTAAATAAAGGTTTTTTGTTTTTTTTTTTAAAAAAAACCCTTCATCCAAACACTTTTTTATTTTTTGATTTAATTTTATTAAATGATCTAATCCTATGACATAAAATTTTAAATTATAATAAAAAAATTAAAATTGAGAAGACCATAATGTAAAATATAGAGAAAATACATTAACAATCTCAAAATTTTTAGAATTTTCATTTGGATTTAAAAGTTTATTTTATTTTTATTTTCCAGCCATGGATTTGAGAGAGAAAAAAATAAAAAGTTACCAAAAAATGATAAAGAAGAAAAAAAGTTATCGATTGACTATATTTTAGTAACAAAAATAATTGATCTTTGTATTAAAAAACCCCATCCGATAAGAAAATTTTTAATGATAATAGTTTTTTTCTCTATAAATATGCCTAAATAGACATATCAAAATTCATTTAAATTTTTTAATTTGATTACTTTTTTTTGAGTAATTTGAGAGTATGATTTATGGAGATTTTAAGTGAAAGTAAGTGAGAAAATAAATTTTTATGTCCTTGTGATTTTTCAAGCTTTATAATGAAGATCTTATTCTTGGTAATAATCCAGTAAAAAAAAATAATTATTTCTTAAATTTTTATAAGTTAAGCTATGCTCTTACTAGTTATTTAGGTTGTCGTTAAATCTATTAAGTCGATCAAGTTACATTGGTCAATCTCTATAAAGTTTAAGAGTGTTTTTATTAAAAAAAATATTAATAACATCTGAATGTTTCTTTTACATGTTTAAAAAATATTTATTTGGCTAGTAGAGTAACATTTACCAAAGGATCTAGTAATAATAAAAAGGGATAATAACAAAATTCCTTTTATAATTTAATCTAAATTTCACTTTCCCTTTATATTTTTATAAACTACTTTGCACTTTATTTGTTCAATAACAATTTACATCCTTAAAATGCATTTTGTTTGAATTTTTTGTTTCATCTAAGATGTACAATGTAATTTATAAAATTATAAATAGGGTAAAATTTAGATAAAAATATACGCAAGTTTTTTATAATTATTCCTAATTAAAAAAAAAAGAATTAGTTTTGCAATAGGAAAGAGAAAAAATATGCAACATTAACAATAAAAAAAAACTAAAAAAGAAAGGGTTTTTTCTTTTTGCTTTGCCCCTCCTCACAAACCACATTGAGTAAATTGAAAATTGAGTTTTATAATCTATTTTGATTTACTTTACATAGAAATATCTTGATATCGTGACCAGGTTCACGGGTTTTGATATTTTAACCTTAATTAAATTGAGTTGTTTTTTTAAGAGATTATTTTGGTCTCATGACTCAGGTTATAGGTCTTTTTTTAAAAAAATTCAAGGAAATCCTATCCTCCGGAAAGGGTACTTTGTGGGCTCAGGTGAGTAAGTAAAACACCGACTATCCTATACTCTTGCAAGAGGTGCTCGCCCTGATTCGAACTCGAGACTTGCTGTGCATATCTCAAGCCCTTTGCCATCACGCTATACCCCTTGAGTCATAGGTCCTTTAACATTGAATTTGCTTTTTATTGGGTTATCTCTGTCTCATGACCTGTGTCGTAGATTTGACAATTTAATTTAGTTGATTTATTTTTTTCTTTTTTTAATTGATTTTTTTTTCTAATTTCATAAATTAATATTGTATTTGACTGAGAATGATATTTCATTATTTTGTTTCAGTTTGCTTTACATTAGTTTCTCTTGGTCTCATGAATTGAGAATAATACTTAACAGATTAACTCGAGTTGACTTGAATTATTCTTATGTCATTTGTTCAATTTTATTTTTTTATAAATTTCTTCATTTAATATTGGTCCTGACAATGATAATTGGAAATCAAGTTTTATAATTTTTTTAATTTATTCTTTATAGGTTTATCTTAATCTTACGAATAAAGTTGTGAATTTGAAAGATTAACTAAAGTTAAATCAAGTCATTTTTTTTAATATAATGTTATCTTATTCTAATGGCTCAGGTCATGAGTGTGGTGAATTAAATTATATTTTTTTAATCATATTCTTCAACATTGGACTAATTAGGATTTAGATTTTATTATGCGTTTTGATTTGTTTTCTATTAGGTTATTTCGATTTTGTGACTTGGATTATGAGTTTGACATGTTAACTCGGGTTATTTTTTTAATTTATATCTTTCAAATCTCATCTTTCAACATTGAATTAATTTACAATTGTACTTTATAATTTGTTTTGATTTGCTTTCTATAGGGTTATCATAATTTTATAACATGGGTTGTAGATTTGATATGTTAACATATGTTAATCTTAGTTAATCTAATATGTTATTATCTTAATATTTTTTTAAAATATCATCTTGGAATATTAAACTATGATTTTATAGGTCATCTAAGTTTTTTATACTAGTAAAGTCAATCGGGTCAACTCTCACATGATTTGTTTTTCCCCTCCACTAGAAAAAAAATCAATAACTTCTAAATATTTTCTTATGTTCAAGAAAAAATTAATTTAGCTCGCAACATAGCATATGTCAATGATCTAGTAGAACATTAAAGGACTTTTTTGGCATTATAATCCAACAACATTTTTGAAAATGTTTTTTAAAAATTTTATCTTCAAATTAATATTTTTTTTAACTCTTATGTTTTAGAATGAATGCAACAATCACTATTTTTTTCCTTATAAATTTAAACATAAAATGTGTAAGGTGAAAACCAGTTGTATTATTTAAGACAACATTGTTCAAGTTTTGTTTTAGTTTGCTATAAATTAAAAGGAAAAAATGATATTAAACTGAGTTTAGTTTATGGTCCGGATTTATCCTAAATAGACTAAAGCATATGGGATGAATACTGTGCAGATGCATTATTTACCCTCTCATGTTTTACAGTGGATGATACTAGTAATTTTTTTTTAAATTTTGCTATAAATTTAAAGGGAAAATATGTGAGGTGAATACTATACAGCCGCATTGTTCATTCTCTCGTGTTTTAACATGGATGAAATTGTTTATTTTTTTGAGATTTGTTTTAAATTTAAAGAAAAAAATATTAAATCCAGATAAGTTCATAATCTGGGTTTATCCCATAAGTTTTACTATAGACGATATTGTTCACTTTTTTTTTTGTTTAAGAAAAAATATTTTCTTTTTATTCTTTTTCTTTTTTAAATTAATCTTAATCTTATTTATATTTATATTAATATCTCTTCTTTCTTTTATGTTATTTAAAAAGCCTATTTGAAATGAAAATTATTTTTTAGTTATCCATTTAATTTTTGAGGTGATTTTTCTATTAATCTATATTTTCTTAATATTTTGTATGGATGAATTTTTTTTTAAATAATTTATTTTAAAATAATATTTTTAAATGTGTATCATTACAATTTATTTTAATATATGTGTTTATTTTTATTATCATTTTTTAAAATAAAAAATTATTTTAATTAATAAATTTAGCAAATATAATCACATAAATATCACATCTTAGGAAATTAAATATCTTGATGTGTATTTATTTTTAACTATTGTTTATGGTATATCAAGTTTATTTGATAATATGTGTATTTGTTTTTAATTAATAATATTTTTAAATACAAAAATATATTAAAAAAGTTTATATATATTTTTCTTTGTTAAGAAAAAACAAAAAAGTAAAATATCTAGACCTGTTATAAATGGAGGGACAGGAGGGAACAGCAAACGCAAGTACCTTGCGTGTCCTCACGTGCAAACACCTGGACCCACCTGCGACCCCTCCAACGCTGTCCAAGAATCTGATCCAAAATCCACTCGTCGTCATCCTCTTTCCCACATCCAATACATTTTTAATCACAGTCATTTATAATTTTTTTTTAAAAAAGGGTAAATAGTTACTTGCCTGTGAAAAAAACAAAAAAAAAACATTTATGGCTATTTATTGAATTCCAAATATATTTATAAAAATTACTAACTTTATTCGTGTAGTAAATTTAAAATCTTATTTGTGTATGGCACTGCGGGTTCTTCCTATAATATCATATCATCTATCATGAGCGCCGCATCAACAATTTTTAAATATGTTAATGGAAGTCTTAATAACACACCAGTAACTTTATCTGATTTTCAAAATGTCTTAATATTTATGATTTAAATGAAGTGAAGTGACTTGATTTGAATCTAATTTGGATTAATTTTGTGAATAATGATATTATATTCCTTTGATTTTGTGAAAATAAAATCACTATTAATGGAAGGAAAAAAAAAAAAAAGGAAGAAAGAGAATCGAATTCTCCACCAACCTTGTTCTCCTAGTACTAAGCAAGTAACGGAATTTCCAAAGCCTTCCTCTCTCTTATATTCATCTATACAGAGAAAAAAGAAGAAGAAGAAGAAGAAGCAAGCTTCAGTGGTCTTCACTCATCGGTGATCATATCATAGCCTTAAGGTGTCTCTCTCTATCTCTCTGCATTTGCAGCTTCTGTTCCTTTTTATTGGTTTTTTAGTGTGTTTATTTATTGACTTTTGTGTGATTGAATTTTCAAAATCAGAATTAATTAATTAAGATGCAAGCAGCGGTAATGTATGGAGGGGTCGTCGTCAAAGGTAGCGTTAACAGCAATTCTACAAGCCTAGCAGTTTGCTTTTCCAGAGCTCAAAAAGGCCGGAATACGAAGCAACTCTCATCCTCCATTGATTTCAGCAACACAAACTGTCAACTACTATCTTCTTCTTCTTCTTGCATGCCTCACCGCACCTCTTGTTTCGGATTGCGTCTCGATTCGTTCTCCTCTATGGGAACCGAACTCACTCGCTCCTCTCTCTTCCGCTCCCGCCCCATCGTCAAAGCTCTCGCTTCCGGTTCGTCCGGTTCGTTTTTCTTTATTTATTCGTGAAGTTGCGTGTTTGATTTTGATTTGAAAACTTTTAGGAGGAGGAGGAGGAGGAGAGGGAGATGTGGAAGAAGGTAGGCCAATAAAATCGGTTGAGGACGTTAATTATGTTGTGCCGCCGCAGCAGCAGCAGGGGAAAGCTTCGACCGGAACGGTTTTTCCGTTTGTTGGAGTTGCCTGTTTAGGGGCTATTTTGTTTGGTTATCATTTAGGGTAATTGCTTGTTGTTAGTTTTCTTTTTCTTTCTTTTTTCAATTGCATTGGTTTTTTATTTATTGGTTTTGGATGATGATGATGATGATTCAGGGTGGTGAATGGTTCACTTGAGTATCTTGCTAAGGATCTTGGGATTGTCGAAAACACGACCTTACAAGGCAAGGAATTGTTTGTTAATTCATCAATGGAATTTTGTTTGTTGGTAATTTGCCGGTAGAATGTGTTGATTACTTGAGTTTAATTCAGGAAAGCAGAGAATGTGTTGATTACTTCAGTTTTAATTTAATGAAACAGAGAATGTCATTTGCCGAACTAGTATAAACAGAGATCTATTTGGTTCTTTAGTATGTTTATATTTTTCTTAGACTTTATAGTGTTTTTGTTAATTTAATTGGCATTGCTGGGTAGTTTATAATCTCAGCACTCAAATGATTGAGCAGGATGGGTTGTTAGCACACTGCTTGCTGGTGCTACTGTTGGTTCATTTACCGGAGGATCATTGGCTGATAAGTTTGGAAGAACAAGGACATTTCAGTTGGATGCAATCCCACTTACAATTGGAGCATTGCTTTGGTTTTCCCTTTATCTTGTGTTTTTGGCTTTTTTTTTTTTAATTTTTTTTTATCATGCTTTTGCAAAAGCTTATGTTTTAAAAAAATTCCAGTGCTACTGCCCAGAGCGTACATACTATGATAATTGGGCGTCTTCTTGCTGGTATAGGAATTGGCATTTCTTCTGCTATCGTGCCACTTTACATATCTGAGGTTGTTACTTATCTCATTTTAATAAGGCCACTGTGAGTGTGTATGGTTTTTCAAGAGCTAATCTGGTGGTGCTTATTTTTTTGGTCAGATCTCACCAACTGAAATCCGTGGTGCACTGGGGTCTATAAACCAACTTTTTATATGTATTGGGATCCTTTTGGCTTTGGTGGCTGGATTACCATTGGCAGGAAATCCTATATGGTATGTTTTATATGCTTTCTCTAATGGTTGTATATGTGATTGCTATGCTTAATCAACATGAAGAAAGAAATAAGCATTTTAAATAAACCATATGGTAATTATATGCCTGACGATATAAGCAACAATGCTTCTGGTAATGCTGCTTCAAGAATCTTTTCTTCCATTTCCATAAGAAAGGTTTTTGGATTGTATGAGGTGGAAGCTATAGATGACAGACTTCGAAGATGGAGCAACAAAACTTTAGCTGTATAGATATGTCATACTGGTGCTAAATTGATGCAGTAAATAATTATCTAGCAAGTTTTTTGGCTTCTTTGTTTAGAGATGCTCATCAATTGTCTAGATTTTAGGACTAACCATACAAGTGGTTGCCAAGAGGAACATGATTTAGTTAAGGAGAGGAGAGATAATGCATCGATTTTGAATTTGACATTTCAAATTCTCTAATTGGCATGACATGTGACCTGTATAAAATCTTTCTCTGGAATTTGGAGAGTGACAATACTTTTGCATTTGGAAAGTTTGATCAGTCAATACATTTTATCCTTATTTCTCTTCAATATCTAAATGGCTCAAAAATCAAGTTGTTGGTATAAGGAAATCATATGTTTAGAAAGTGTTTGGCCTTCTGAATCTTAAGCAAATACAAGTTCCAGCAAGATGACGGGTTTCAACATGCTTTTAAAATAGGAGGAGAACAGCACTAGTATATGGGGTTGTGTAAATATTAATGAGGTCAGCCCTCATGCGAGACAGGATTTTAATATGGTTGTAGTCAAAAGCTCTGTGGGAATACAACAGGGTCGCATGACAGGGCAGTGTGTTATCGTTTGATTTATGTTACCAACAGTGCCAATTTAATGGACCTTCTAGCTAGTTCGTCTGTACAAGGATGGCAAGGTCCTGGAAAGTTTCGTTACTAATGCTTTGTACAGCTGAAAAGTGCAATGAAAGAATGTTAAAATCAGGAGCTGCCCATGCTTAACTTTTTTTAATTGTTATTTTTATCTTACAACTCCTGGCAGCCCAATCCTGGATTGGGTTTTCTCATCCGTGTTGTTTAAGATAGTTCCTCTGTGAGTTGAGGTTGGAATATCTTTTGCATATTCCCCCTTGTATTTATTTATTAATATTTTCATCAGTTATTAAACTTTGATCTAGGCAAATACGATTAGATAACTGCATCTAAATTTAGAGAGAAATTAATCACATTTTGTCTGAGTGTACCTTTAACATGTGCGCACTAATATTCTGTGTAACACCATTTCTTTTATTTTGTCATTGGGTGAAATTAACTGAAATGAAAAGGAATAGATGCTGCAAATGATGTGAGATACTAGGGCATTTTTCCTAACAAAATAAAAAAAAAAAACATAACTGAGCATTTCTATCACAAGTAAAGAGCTCAAGAAATGCTTTCAGCAAAAACCAAATGCCCTCATGATTTGCATTGAAAATTCCTTGATCCTGGAAATTTAACATTGCAAAGATTTCAAGTGAACACATTTTAAAGGTTACAATTTCTTTTAGTTTTATATTATGATGTTGTCTTAGCTAACTCCACCTAGCCATTCTAGCAATGGCCAATTGCACATCGAGTTTGCTCAGACTCTTTTTAAGAGCATTCAAGTATGCATAAATTTGGATGGAACCTTGTCAGAAAGTCTTAAATCTTTGCGTTAGTTTTGTGTAGCATTGAGGAATACATTGTAACCAATCGAAATCAGTGCTCTTGTGTTATTGCCAGAAAATGTAACTGTAAACTTTGATCTCATTAGCATTCCAGATAGAATAGTTCATCTACCTAATACACTTTTGACAAAATTGAAGTTGTAATGTCAAAAGAACACATGATTTTTGCACAATTGACCAATGAAAATAAATCGAGTGGCACTAAGTAAAAGCTTTGATGTTCATTTTTTCTTGAATGGCTATTAAAAAGCTCTTTACTGGAAATCATGTTGTTCATGAATAATCTTTCCTTTCTTAGCCATTTAATCGAGACTATTTACACACCTCCTTCAGGTGGAGGACAATGTTTGGCATTTCAGCTGTCCCTGCTGTTCTATTGGCTTTGGGAATGGCATTTTCTCCAGAAAGTCCACGGTGGCTTTTTCAGGTTTAGTTGTATTTAATCTCATGTCATTGAGGCCATTGTATATTTATTTATGTTGTGATATAGTTGGAATTGTATATGTTTTTAATCTAAATTAATCATTCATTAAGAAGATATTGATAAACATCTTTATCTTGCAGCAAGGAAAATTTTCTGAAGCTGAAAAGTCCATAAAGACACTTAATGGAAAAGAAAGAGTTGCTGATGTCATGACCGACTTAAGTGTGGGTAGTCAAGGTTCTGCTGAGCCAGAAGCTGGATGGTTTGATCTATTTAGCAGCCGCTATTGGAAAGGTACTTGGTTTCAGATGAAAGATGTAGATCTTTGGTTATTGGATTTGCAAGCACCAGTCTAAATCAGATGATATAATCTTTGTTTGGTTTGCCAAAACTTTCGCCACTTTAAGAAAATGTCTCAAAATTTTCTGAACAAATCCATGACTATACCTCTGCATTTTAATTAGTTGTTGACCTCTTCATTAAATCTACTAATACAGGCTTTACTGCATAAATGTTAATAGGCTCTTTGAGGAAAATCAAAGATTGTACTTCCCACAACCATCCAAGCCATTATTGCTTAAACAATGAATGGGATAAAAGTCTGGGTTATCACCTTGCATTCCTGCATTAAAAACTCAAGTCTTAGCACGTTTAGTGATTATGCCTTGGAAAATAGTTTTTGTCACAAGTTGAAAAACCATCCTAAGATAATCTTCTATAGCTTATTGTTACTTCAACCTCTTGGTATTTTAGTATGTGTATAACTAATAACTTTTGATTTGTCAGGGTAAATTATTTGTTTTACTAACATTTTTATTTATGCAGTTGTGAGCGTTGGTGTAGCACTTTTCTTTTTCCAACAAATGGCTGGTATAAATGCTGTGGTGTATTATTCAACTGCTGTGTTCCGTAGTGCTGGCATTGAATCAGATGTTGCTGCCAGTGCTCTTGTTGGGGCATCAAACGTCTTTGGTAAATTTTTGTTATCTTTCTTTCTGAATCAGGTGCATGTTTAACTTTACAATTTGCAACCATCATGTTTTAATTTGGCTGGCTTCTTCCAGGCACAACTATTGCATCTTCCTTAATGGACAGACAAGGAAGGAAGAGTCTTCTAATCACAAGCTTTTTTGGAATGGTAGGGTTACTTGTAGTTTCAAACCATTCATTCTTTTAATCAGAAAAACATAATTTTCTGTTACTTTTTTATGGTCATCAATAACAGAGCTTAGAGCCTTTTAAACTACCTCCTGAATTTTCATTTTGGGCTCAGATTATCCTTTTCTCTCCCTCAACTTTCACTGCTGAACTGTATTTTATGTCATTCCTATTGGTTCAATACCTAACTGGGAATTATTGAATTAAGAAAACACAGAAAAACTAAAAGAAGGAGATAAGGACCAATCTATACCTGAAGAAATTATCTTGACAAGGGCTGGTCTGCACATACCTGCTTGATATGCTGAAAATAAGAAGGATTTTCCAATCCTTAAGTATTAGTTTGTGATCTATCATCTCACATAGGCGACAGACTAGTGATGCCCTAAGCCTCACTTCTTTGTTTTCTTCCAGTATTTTGACCTGAAATGATTTTACAGATGCCTTGATGGATTCTCGAGTCATGAGCTCTCTCTCTGTTTTGGCTGACTGATGAATGGCTTTATCAGACATTTTGATGAGCTAGGCATTATTGATTTGCACCAAGTTAGATAATATTAGTATTTCAAGTCTGGCAACCTTTTCTTCTTCGAGCACACATGGCATAGAATTTGGTTGCATAATGTCAACCCACTGTTGCCAGGATCCCTCCACAAGTCCATGTTGTAACTTCTTGAGAGAACATGACATAATTTAACTTTTCTGCATCTTCTTTACAAACATTTTTATTCCCAAAGAAAAATATTCCAAATAAGTGGGACTAGGATAATCTTGTATCTAATACAATTCCTTTTTTGCGTGTTCTGTCATGAAGGCTGCCTCAATGCTGCTGCTTTCCTTGTCCTTCACTTGGAAGGCCCTGGCACCATATTCTGGAACCCTTGCAGTTCTAGGGACAGTTTGGTAAGTCAATTATTTTCCATGTGAGATAAGTCAAGCTCTTTTCTTCTGCCTTCTTGTTTCTGAGCAATTAGGGAAGATTATTTCCTTATGAGATTTAATTGAGCTTCTCCTTTTTCTGATGTCTGTTATTTTTATCCAATTGGATATGGTATCTGAATTGGACTTCTCATCTCTTGATACAGCTACGTGTTGTCATTTTCACTTGGTGCTGGTCCTGTGCCAGCTCTTCTTCTTCCAGAGATATTTGCCTCCAGAATTAGAGCGAAAGCAGTTGCTTTATCCTTGGGCATGCACTGGGTAAGCCATGAAAGAAGAACATTTGTAAACTATAGTTTTCCAATCGCAGATATCAGTGTTGATCACCACCTTCAAAAACTGCTATGCAATAAAGTTTGAACACTGACACAAACATATAAATAAGCAATTGACTGGAATTAGAAGAAAGTGTCTGAAAAACAAACCATCATTTCTTATGCCAAAGACTTTGAATAGTTCATTTTGTAGATATATGAATGCACGTGCATGCCTGTAGGGGAGGGCCATAGTCAGCTTGTTGATTTAGAGATAATACCAAGGGAATGGCCTCTGTTATGTGGAGTTTTGTGAGCAGATAGCTCACACATTTGTATTCATATATTTGTTACTTGTTTTTGAGTGTAAATGTGAATGGAACTTTTAATTTACTTCTATCTTTTTTTTCTTTGAGAATGTTTGATTGGTTGATTACTTGATTACATGCTAAATACGATTTGGTTTTCTATGGTAACAGGCTGCAAATTTTGTCATCGGCCTGTATTTCTTGAGCTTCGTGAACAAGTTTGGGATCAGCTCTGTGTATTTAGGATTTTCCGGCATCTGTCTTTCTGCTGTGTTGTACATAGCAGCTAATGTTGTGGAGACAAAGGGACGCTCGTTGGAGGAAATAGAGCGAGCTCTTAACCCAACAATTTGATCAGATCAGGGTACTTGTCGCAAGGACACAAGGTAACATGTCACTACACCTCATGGACATTGGCCTTAGGATAGATTGTGGTTTTAATCCCCGGAGGGTTCATTGTTCTTGCGGAACGTTCACTGGGCTTGCTTATTGTCCGGCATTTTCAAATGCCAAATCTCTGTTATAACCAGCTTAGTGAACAAACTCACGAACATGCGGGTCATCAAAACTGAATGTTGAGTATCACAAAGATTTTGTTTCCCATGTGATTGTTGAATGAAATTCTATATGACCATTCCGCAGAGTGATTAGAAAATTAAGTGAAGCTTCTGAGCTTTGGCAAAAAGCTCAAATCTGAAACCGTAAATGATGCATGTTCCTGTAAGTTAAGCTCTTAAATGGCCAAGAGAACCTGATAAGGACTTGTTTGGTTGCTTTACTGGCCATATCATTAGTCCATTGACAATGTTGTGAGACTGAGATTTCTGTGATATTAAAGAATTTACACGAACACCAACATAAAAAATCTCTTTTTATTTTTATAAGATCAAACTTGTATTCCTGAATGCCGTTGAACTGAAACTTGAAACTTTCAGAGTCATGCTGACAGGCTGATAAAAAAAAGAGAGTTATGTTTACATAATCTCTTCTGGTCTTAAGAAATTGAATAAAGGACGTGGAAATCCCAGATTGTTATGGTAAGTTGCTCGAATAAAATCATTTACATTCAGACCAAATCCTTCCTGTTCCATCTTTTCCATATCACCTCTTCATTACCTGCCACCCCTTGAAAATATATTTCTCGTTCCATCGTTAAGAGCTTGTGTTGTCTAAACATGTAAATGAAATACAATAAAAGCAACAAAACTTTAAGTTGCCTTCAGCTAATTTTTCAGCCATAAGTTATTAAACTCAACCCTGCATAGGCCGATGAGTCCATTCAAAACCTAGCCTGCAACGTGTGTTTTATTTTGAGCTGGTTTAAAAATTGACCTAAATAAACTTAATTTAGTAAGCGTTCAGAAATATGGTTGTACCTATATTTTTTTAAAAATTAATTTTTTTGCTAAATATTATTTTATATATATATTTTGGATAATTTTAATATGTTAATTTCAAAAATATTTTTTGGTGTAGCACTTTTCTTTTTCCAACAGATGGCTGGGATAAATGCTGTGGTGTATTATTCAACTGCTGTGTTTCGTAGTGCTGGTATTGCATCAGATGTTGCTGCTAGTGCTCTTGTTGGGGCATCAAACGTCTTTGGTAAATTTTTGTTATCTTTCTTTCTGAATCAGGTGCATGTTTAACTTTACAATTTGCAACCATCATGTTTTAATTTGGCTGGCTTCTTCCAGGCACAACTATTGCATCTTCCTTAATGGACAGACAAGGAAGGAAGAGTCTTCTAATCACAAGCTTTTTTGGAATGGTAGGGTTACTTGTAGTTTCAAACCATTCATTCTTTTAATCAGAAAAACATAATTTTCTGTTACTTTTTTATGGTCATCAATAACAGAGCTTAGAGCCTTTTAAACTACCTCCTGAATTTTCATTTTGGGCTCAGATTATCCTTTTCTCTCCCTCAACTTTCACTGCTGAACTGTATTTTATGTCATTCCTATTGGTTCAATACCTAACTGGGAATTATTGAATTAAGAAAACACAGAAAAACTAAAAGAAGGAGATAAGGACCAATCTATACCTGAAGAAATTATCTTGACAAGGGCTGGTCTGCACATACCTGCTTGATATGCTGAAAATAAGAAGGATTTTCCAATCCTTAAGTATTAGTTTGTGATCTATCATCTCACATAGGCGACAGACTAGTGATGCCCTAAGCCTCACTTCTTTGTTTTCTTCCAGTATTTTGACCTGAAATGATTTTACAGATGCCTTGATGGATTCTCGAGTCATGAGCTCTCTCTCTGTTTTGGCTGACTGATGAATGGCTTTATCAGACATTTTGATGAGCTAGGCATTATTGATTTGCACCAAGTTAGATAATATTAGTATTTCAAGTCTGGCAACCTTTTCTTCTTCGAGCACACATGGCATAGAATTTGGTTGCATAATGTCAACCCACTGTTGCCAGGATCCCTCCACAAGTCCATGTTGTAACTTCTTGAGAGAACATGACATAATTTAACTTTTCTGCATCTTCTTTACAAACATTTTTATTCCCAAAGAAAAATATTCCAAATAAGTGGGACTAGGATAATCTTGTATCTAATACAATTCCTTTTTTGCGTGTTCTGTCATGAAGGCTGCCTCAATGCTGCTGCTTTCCTTGTCCTTCACTTGGAAGGCCCTGGCACCATATTCTGGAACCCTTGCAGTTCTAGGGACAGTTTGGTAAGTCAATTATTTTCCATGTGAGATAAGTCAAGCTCTTTTCTTCTGCCTTCTTGTTTCTGAGCAATTAGGGAAGATTATTTCCTTATGAGATTTAATTGAGCTTCTCCTTTTTCTGATGTCTGTTATTTTTATCCAATTGGATATGGTATCTGAATTGGACTTCTCATCTCTTGATACAGCTACGTGTTGTCATTTTCACTTGGTGCTGGTCCTGTGCCAGCTCTTCTTCTTCCAGAGATATTTGCCTCCAGAATTAGAGCGAAAGCAGTTGCTTTATCCTTGGGCATGCACTGGGTAAGCCATGAAAGAAGAACATTTGTAAACTATAGTTTTCCAATCGCAGATATCAGTGTTGATCACCACCTTCAAAAACTGCTATGCAATAAAGTTTGAACACTGACACAAACATATAAATAAGCAATTGACTGGAATTAGAAGAAAGTGTCTGAAAAACAAACCATCATTTCTTATGCCAAAGACTTTGAATAGTTCATTTTGTAGATATATGAATGCACGTGCATGCCTGTAGGGGAGGGCCATAGTCAGCTTGTTGATTTAGAGATAATACCAAGGGAATGGCCTCTGTTATGTGGAGTTTTGTGAGCAGATAGCTCACACATTTGTATTCATATATTTGTTACTTGTTTTTGAGTGTAAATGTGAATGGAACTTTTAATTTACTTCTATCTTTTTTTTCTTTGAGAATGTTTGATTGGTTGATTACTTGATTACATGCTAAATACGATTTGGTTTTCTATGGTAACAGGCTGCAAATTTTGTCATCGGCCTGTATTTCTTGAGCTTCGTGAACAAGTTTGGGATCAGCTCTGTGTATTTAGGATTTTCCGGCATCTGTCTTTCTGCTGTGTTGTACATAGCAGCTAATGTTGTGGAGACAAAGGGACGCTCGTTGGAGGAAATAGAGCGAGCTCTTAACCCGACAATTTGATCAGATCAGGGTACTCGTCGCAAGGACACAAGGTAACATGTCACTACACCTCATGGACATTGGCCTTAGGATAGATTGTGGTTTTAATCCCCGGAGGGTTCATTGTTCTTGCGGAACGTTCACTGGGCTTGCTTATTGTCCGGCATTTTCAAATGCCAAATCTCTGTTATAACCAGCTTAGTGAACAAACTCACGAACATGCGGGTCATCAAAACTGAATGTTGAGTATCACAAAGATTTTGTTTCCCATGTGATTGTTGAATGAAATTCTATATGACCATTCCGCAGAGTGATTAGAAAATTAAGTGAAGCTTCTGAGCTTTGGCAAAAAGCTCAAATCTGAAACCGTAAATGATGCATGTTCCTGTAAGTTAAGCTCTTAAATGGCCAAGAGAACCTGATAAGGACTTGTTTGGTTGCTTTACTGGCCATATCATTAGTCCATTGACAATGTTGTGAGACTGAGATTTCTGTGATATTAAAGAATTTACACGAACACCAACATAAAAAATCTCTTTTTATTTTTATAAGATCAAACTTGTATTCCTGAATGCCGTTGAACTGAAACTTGAAACTTTCAGAGTCATGCTGACAGGCTGATAAAAAAAAGAGAGTTATGTTTACATAATCTCTTCTGGTCTTAAGAAATTGAATAAAGGACGTGGAAATCCCAGATTGTTATGGTAAGTTGCTCGAATAAAATCATTTACATTCAGACCAAATCCTTCCTGTTCCATCTTTTCCATATCACCTCTTCATTACCTGCCACCCCTTGAAAATATATTTCTCGTTCCATCGTTAAGAGCTTGTGTTGTCTAAACATGTAAATGAAATACAATAAAAGCAACAAAACTTTAAGTTGCCTTCAGCTAATTTTTCAGCCATAAGTTATTAAACTCAACCCTGCATAGGCCGATGAGTCCATTCAAAACCTAGCCTGCAACGTGTGTTTTATTTTGAGCTGGTTTAAAAATTGACCTAAATAAACTTAATTTAGTAAGCGTTCAGAAATATGGTTGTACCTATATTTTTTTAAAAATTAATTTTTTTGCTAAATATTATTTTATATATATATTTTGGATAATTTTAATATGTTAATTTCAAAAATATTTTTTTAAAAAATAAAAAAATTATTTTAATACATTTCAGCACAAAAATTATTTTAAAAAGCAACTGTATCCGTATTTCTAAACAGGCTTAAGTTAAAACTAGTCGACTTAGCAAACCTGATATGTTAAATTATTATTTTTATTTAAAATCACATTATTTTATTTAAAAAATAAAAATTTTTTTTTGGATTGCTTTATTAAAAATGTGACAAGAGTCTTGGGTAGGGTAAAACCCTGGAACAAGCATGATAACAACACTTTCAGCCTAGAAGAATAACAATAATGTCTACATGTTGGCTCTCTTTTCCATCCTTCTTTTTTGTCAAGCTTACAAACAAAAGAACACACAGAGACCAATATGACTATATTAAATTGCTGATCCACACTAAAGCCATGAGCATTTTTAAAGAAGAGAAAAAAAAAACAAGAATTAAGTCATCAACTTGACTAGGTTTAATGAGCTTGCATAATCTTACATATTCTTACTTATATGAATAAAAAAATACAAAAACAATAAAGTAACTAATTGACCAACAAAAAAAACTGGCAAAGAAAGAAAAGAAAAGGTCGATCAAAGACTATCTAAGATAACATGCCAAACTTGTAACTTGGTCGTGATATCAGGTTATGTTGGCAAAAGCAATTTGAATAAACCAATGAAGCTTAAATATCAAATAACTTAATATAAAGGGTAAAAATAAAAATAAAAATAGTTTTTTATAAAAGCAATTGAAGAAAAAAGATACGACTTAGCTCATGTTAACTCATTGACCTTGCGACCATAGATATAGGATTGTGATAACATAATAAAATAACAAAAAAAAACATGAAGATCAATTCTTAATAAATCAAATGTTGAAGGATAAAATTTAAAAGATAATAAATTTAATAAAGAACCTTAAAAAAAAAAACCAAAATCAACTCATATTAATATTTGAAATTCATGACTTTAATTATAAGCCTGAGATTAACTAACCCCATGGAAGACAAAACCTAACAAACAACAAAGTCAATTTTCAATCACAAAATAATGATGGATGGAATTGGGAAAAAAGGTGATAAAAAAATAAAATAAATAGTAATAAAAAAGGGGTAAGATCTGACATAAAAATAAATTGAAATCATATATTGAAGGATAAAATTGAAGAAAAAAATAATTTACAAAAGATAAGATGAATAAATAAATAGTAATCAAAAGAATGAGGATCAATTATATTAAAAAAATAAAAAAAAACTCATGTATTTTACTAAGAAAAAGAGAGAGAAAAAGGGGAGGAAAAGAAAAAAATTTCATTGAATTTCTATCGTCGGTTCACCATCGATACGAGCCTCACATTGTTAAGATCTCGGTGTGTTGCTCCTAACACTACCAAAAAAGAAAGGCGCGGACTCCTCCCATTCATTGCATTGCACGTGACAATTATTTTTTTTTAGATATATTTTACTTATATTAAAATATCCAATTGCCCCCAAGTTTATTTGATAATTACAAAAAAGCTATAATGAAATGACTAAAAAACCCCTTAACACAAATTCAAGAAAATAAGTTTTCAAGGGGAGTTAAGTAAGTATATTTGGCAAAAAAAGATGAAAAGTTAAAAAAAGCCCTTTGCCCCTAGTAAATGTTTTTTGTTTTTTAATTTTAAGGCTAAATTAGTAATTTCATTGTGCAAAAAATATAAAGCGATATATTGATCCCTGTTTAATTTGATAATACCAACTGAACTTCGTGAAAAGACCATTTTACCTTCCAACTTGTGCTTCCTTGGCTTGTACTGTCAAGAGCAAAAAATCCTATAGCAATCTAAGTATAATAAGTCTTGCTCCATGATGTTTTTTATTAGTGCCCCCTAATTGTTTTTATAAATGGACAGGGGTGATCACTTTCGGTTGGATTCAGTTTTTATAAAAAAAGTAACCGAACTGAATTTTTTTAAAACCGAAATTGAATTGAAATCAGTTCAAACTGGTGGCTTGCTTTATTCAATTTGGCTCGATTTTTGCTCAGTTTTTTCTGGTTTGGCATGATTTTTTATGTTTGGGTTTGATTCATTTTAGTTCGGTTTTTTCGGTTTCAAGCTTATAAAATCAAAATTGAACTGAGCTGGTTGATTTTTTTTCAAAATTCTAATTGGTTTAATCAATTTTTTTCATAGTTCGGTTTTTTCGGTTTCAAGCTTATAAAATCAAAATTGAACTGAGCTGGTTGATTTTTTTTCAAAATTCTAATTGGTTTAATCAATTTTTTTCATAGTTCAGTTTTTTCAATTATTTTTTTCCAGTTTTTTTGGTTTAATTGGTTTTTTGATTTTTTTGTTCATCCCTAATAATGGACATGAAAAAAAATAGGTGAAGGAATGTGTTACACTAATGTTGAATTCAATGGCATAATTGCAACCTATCTTCAACAAGAAATATAATAGTGACTAGTACATTGCTCGCCTTCTACCGTGAGTTAGATAATTGTTTTTTGTGGAAAAAAAAGAAGATATAACCATTAGCAATAAAAATTTTATTGCACCAAGAAATGTTTTTAATGTGAGTCTTTTTTTTTATTTTAATCTTGAGTTAAAAACCATCATGGAGGACTATAAGAAAAAAAAAAAAACACACTTACTAATGTTATAAGAAAATAATGTTATAAAATTTCATAAAAAAGATTGAACAATATCTAATGAAACAAAAAAATACAGCGATAAAATAAAATCTAAAACAAGAATCATAAAGCAGTATATTAAAAAAGAGCTCGCTAATATAAAAAAGGAATTGCATTGGTATTCAATAAAATAAAATTCAAATTATTATATAGCCAATCTATTTGAATGACCAAAGTGTAAAATATAGGAAAAAATAAAAATAAAAAACAAAAAAACAGAGAGGCTAGACACGTGTATGGGTGCCGATGCCTAACATATCAAAGAGAAGCTACATCCACGTTCCACACATCTTAATTTTTGTATATTAAAGGATGGGTGACGAGTCCTCCATTGTTTATTAAAAAGAAGATGCAAAGACATGTTATTTGTAGCCCTGGCAACCATAGGGTCTTGGGTAAGGCCATATAGAGGTATGTTATGTTTAAAAAATTGATTTCAATCTATTTTTTTTTTAAATATAGAAATACGTTAGAAACTTTGATAAATTTATTCATGACATCACATCTTTCAAAAATCCTAAAATCAACAATAATTAAAAAAGCTTCTCGAGCTCAGATCTACAATCTCATTTGATGAAAATGCCAAAAACACTTCGATGTAACTCTCTTCATCAAATAAAGTTGGCATCAAGATCGATTTATTTCATAGTCGGAATCAATGTTAACCAAGATTTTTTTCTCTTCAATCAAAATCTAATGATTCTCTCTCTTTTCTGTCAAACTAGGGATTGAAAATAAAAAAATAAAATTGTCTTAAAATGTAATTTTTGAAAATTAAAGGGATCATAAATATATCATTTGAAAAATTAGAGGATTAAAGTGAACTTTTTTAACACCAATTTTTATACAACCACTTATTTTTCTTGTCTTTTTATTTTGGTCATCTATCTTTCAATCTTGTCCCCTCTCAACAAATTCACTTAAGTTGGCCAACAATTTAATCTTATAAAGGAAAAAAATAAATTCTAGAGATGAAAAAAAAAAAAAAAGGTTTGGTGTTCTAGTGTACAGTGCTACATCTCGAGCACCATCTCTTTTAACTTTTCCTGTAATATTGTGGAAAAAAAAGCCATATCAAAATGGGAGATGTGAAAAGTGATAACAAAATGGAAGTTATGACATCCATGTTTTGATGCATTCACATTAATTACAAGCATAAAGTATCAAAACTTTGCAACATAAAAGCATTCCAGTAAAAAATCAATCTAAACTCACATCAACTTTCACATACCTTACTCTATATTCTTTCCACAAAAAAGTAATGACCCATTTAGCAAAATACATTAAAGGTTAAATTTTATTACTCAAATTATCAAAAGAACTCAAATTTGCATATACACTAGCTATTATTAACCCACACTTTGTTACAGGTTATAATTAATTTTTTTTTTAAATACTAGCTATGCTAGCTACTTCAATGTAAATTAAAAAGCTTATGCAAGTATCTCATTAAATAAATTAATAATTATTCATGTAAATAAATGAAAAACAAATCGTTAACAATAATCAAAAGAAAAATTGATAAAATCGATAAATAAATGAAAATCA